AGAGTTGCATCGGCGCCGAAGCGGGCGAATTCGAACAGGTACTGCACGGGCCCTGGGTTCAGTGCCAAGATGTTCGACGAGCGCGGCGTGTCGGCAGAGTTTGGGGACTTGCTGGCAGCCATGAGAGAGGTCTACAGGGACTTCTGGCCTGCTGCTGCCAGGGAAGGGTTTGCGCCAACCGCGCGCGCGGGGTGGGTAAGCTACGCCGACGGGGACGATAAGTGGCTTTCGGAGGCGGAAATCTTGGCCATTGAGCTGGGGGTCATAATGGACCAGAGCCTGCCGCGATCGAGGAGCTCGACGAACACCTAGCCAATATGTCTAAATTGTGCCCTGGCGACGGCGGAAGGACGTGTATGAGTTCGTGGAGTGCGCGTGCTTCTCGGCAAGCCCCTCTGGGAGCGGAGGGTTTGCGAAGACGCTCTCAATGAGGCGACCCAGCTGGGCCTGGGGTCGCTCCCCCCTTTTTCCCGCCCCCCTTCACCGCGTAAGTCTGTCATCCTGCACCTTTTCCTCCTCCTGAATTCGCAGCCCCCGCACGCACGTAACGATGAGGTGCGCGTCCACCAGGGCTGTGCGTGTCGCGGCCGAGTGTCCTCTCCAGAAAAAACAGAGAAGGGGTGTGCCCATCCGAGAGGTTTTTCTCAGCACCCGAAGTGAAGGTCGCCACTCCACCCAGGTGTCGGCGACAGGACACACCCCGAAGAAACAGCTGCGCGGAGGGGGAAGGGGAGAGGAGCGGGAAAGGAGTGAGCAGGCAAGAACTGGAAGGCGGAGGCGACCGACGCGCGGCGGAGGGGTGTGAGCCACCCACCCACCCCTTAGGCGCTCGCGCGCCCGCCCGAGGCAAAGGGCGGGGAAGTGAGAGGGGAAGAAATGGAGAAGAGCTGGGGCTTCAAATGAAACGAGCAACAGCTTTGAAAGAGGAAGGAGGAGGAGGAGGAGGAGGACGACGAGGACGAGGACGAGGAGGACGAGGAGGACGAGGAGGACGAGGAGGACGAGGAGGACGAGGAGGACGAGGAGGAGGAGGAGGAGCAGGAGCAGGAGCAGGAGGAGGAGGAGGAGGAGGAGGAGGGAGAATGAGGAGGAGGAGGAGGAGGAGGAGGAGCCATCACGGCTACGGGGTGGAGCAGCCGACCGGCAGCCCGCAGGCCGGCAGGCGGCTGGGGCGCCGCTGCGTCACGGCTGGCGGGGCGGGGCTCAGCGCTCAGCGCCTGCCCCCAACGACAGGAGGCTCACGGGCACTTAGCAACTGTTCAGCGACCGCCGTCTGCAGAATAGCACCGAGCTCTTGCCAGAAGGCGACGGCATCAGCGGAAGCCCCGTGGCCAGCCCGGGCGGGTACCGGCGGCGCTTCTCGTGAGCTGCAGCTTCCGCTGCAAGACCAGGCTTCTCCGCCCGAGCACATTCCACGCGCTCTTCGGTGCTGTCGGGGCTGACTACCATCACGTCCACCGCCCTCGCGGCACCCTGGCGAGACCAGACCACATCGAGGACCGCCAGCTCGACGCGCTTGATTTCGGCCCCGTCCACCCAGACTCGGCGAAGCTGTTGCCACTGGGGCACAACCTGTTCCTTCTGCACCCACGCGGGGATGCGCCGGGGAAGCCAGCGGGCCAGCAAATCGAAGACACGGTCATGCCGTGTCACGCGGCGCTTTCCATCTCGCACGCCAGCACGTGGTGCTGACCGGGCTCCAGAGTCGTTCCGCAAAGCGCCCCAGCAAGGGACGTGTTTCGACAGTGCGTCCTGCTGCCAGGTGACGATCGCTTCTCCTCCTCCTCCTCCTCCTCCTCCTCCTCCTCCTCCTCCTCCTCCTCCTCCTCCTCCTCCTCCTGCCCACATCTTTCACCAGCGCCTCCCACCTTCCGTCCCTAATATCACTCTCCGATCCTCTCTGTCTCTGCCCCCTTTCCAACACTTCCCCCCCTTCCCCACAACACGTCTACCCACTTCCACGCTTCTCCCTCCCACCCCGCCCCCTCCCCCCCGTCTCCCTTCCAACCCTTGCTTCCGAATCCTGCCGTCTCAGCCCCCACCCTTCCCTTCCCCGTTCCCATCCCCCTCTCCTGCCCGATCTGGTTCGAGGGTGATAGGGGGGGGCGCGAGAGGCCACAGTGGTTGAAGGATCTTTGGGCCAGTAAGGACGTCGTGATGAGTTGGAGATGGACAAGCAGCAAAAGGCAGATGAGGAGCGAGGGAAACCAGGAGATATCAGCAAATGGTGTTCGATGGTCGAGACAGTCGGCGATCGCACTCGAGCGTGCGAGGGTCTCAGGGCTCACGCAGTGAGCGCCGGACTTGCTGACTGGGCTCCCAGTGGTATTCCAAATGCGTTGGGTTCGCGGGCAGTGGGAAAGAGGAGGCCGAGGGTCATCGTTGCAGACGCGGGCTCAGGAAGATGTAAAGAGGAAGGGCAAAAGAGGGGCAGGGGCAACCTTTTAATCCGCCCCTGTACGTGCACCTCTGAGTCGTCCCCTCCCCTCCTAGGCCGTTCGAGGTTTGGAGCGGCCGAGGTGCACTTTTGGTCTCTCCCAACACACTGCATATGCCCTGGCAGTGTGTTTTTGTTTTATGCTTTTTGTGTGAATTTCGCTGCGCGAAGGCTGTAATCCCTCCCTCCATCAATCCTTCGTCCTTACAAATAACTCCCCACCTTGCCGTGCCACCAGACGTGACCGTAGGTGTTCCGTCTGGGACTTCTTGACAGGTGATAACATGATCTTGAAGCTAGAGAAATTTCCACGGTTACAGGGGTGGAGGGATGATCGTCTTCAAAGTGTGGTTCTTATCTCAGCTTTGTGTACATGTGTTGTCGAAATTCTCAACAGCTGCAATACAAGGATGGAGGTGGTCTGGTTTACAGGCTTCCATGAGCACAAGACTGCAAGCCGGCTCGTTTTCGGAATGCGGCTCTAGTTTGAAACGTCTTCAAGTTCTATGCCCCGAAATTCCGAATTGTGCAGCAGCGACACGAAAGGAGGGTGAATGTGCTTGAGCACGGAATTTTCGCCTCAGCGCTACGAACACTCATCGCGAAAAAAACATAGCTAAACGGATGGAGGTGGTGCTGTTCAGCATGCGGTTCTCGCTACGATCCGAAGGTCGAAATCGCGCAAAAGTTTAAAGAAGTGAGGGCGGCTTCCTTTCAAAATGGAGCATGCGCTTGATACTTCCACGAACTGTATGACCAGGACTGTGAAAATATGAAACGCTTCACGGACGGGGGGCAGATCGATGTCAAAACAGGGTTATCGTTGGAGGTTTCCTGACAGTTGGTCAGCCTAACTTTTCGCGCTGCTCTCAGCTAGAAGGACGGAGGCGGATTCTTTACACACGGGGTCTGGCCTGAGTGACAGGCGCACCAGGCGCCCGCCATTTCAGCAGTGGAGAGGAGGATGTGTAGGAACTCATGGGGAGGGGACTTGGGACGAGAGGATGCATCGCAGCATCGCTGATGCATACTTTCTTCTTCCTTCTCCTCCTCATCCTTATTCTCTCCGCCCCCCATTTTCCCTCCTCCGCCTTTTCTTTCTCCTGCTGCCAGGTGGCGTTCGCACATGCTTTGGGCGTCTCCGGGGCGCCGACCAAACGGTGGGCGAGGCAGAGCGCTTCGCCGCGCTGCGTGCGTTCGAAAAGATCTCCACCTTAGAGCGTATCAACTCTGATTTCCTCTCGTTGGCTGAGGAGGACCAACGCTGGGATCTCGCGGACGCGGGGCCTGGAGGGGAACATGCGAGTTTATGGCGCCGAACTCGCGCGGTTGCGCAGGCTCGCCCAAAACCACCTCCCGAGTTCGCGTGGTGTCTTGCTCACGCGTCCCTGGAGGACGCCGTGGTCAGAGGGCCCCTGGGTGCCCCCCCGTTTCCGTTTGCCCTCGGAAATGCTTGGGGCTGATTTTTGTTCGCAAAGCGGCGAGCCGCTGAAGAGTGCGTTGGCCATGGCATTGCTGATCTGTTTCGGATGACACTCTCTGAGGCGCAGGCGTTCAGCGCGTACCAAGCTTGGGCAGGGCGCCGAATGATCGAAGGAGTCGGAGGTCGGTCGTCGTCCGGGTCATGCCCCCCGGCGCCCTGCCCAGCATCCCGCCCCCTTTTCATCGGAGATGGGACTGGGCGCCAGATATGTTTCAGCCCGTCCCGCGGTGAGTGGAGTGCGGGCAGTGCAACACGGTCACAGAGTCCCGTGCTGGCTTGCACAGCCTTCAGGTGGTGAAGAAATGCCGTGTCTGCAATCCCTCGGACATCCAGCGTTGGGCTGCTCAGAGGCTGCTCCATAGATGCCGCGATGGTGTGCCCCAGACGTCCGAGGGAGCGGAAGCGGCCCTCTCGGCCGCCTCGAGGCTGCTCGATGGCCCCCCCCCCCCTGACCCTGCCCTGGTCCCTGGCCGGTCGTGGGGGGCTGACGCGGAAAGCGTGGCGGCGCCGAGCTCTGGGGAGCGTGGGCGTGCCGATTGGGACCTGCTCCGCCGCCTCGACCATCGGATGCCCGAGGTGAGGGCGTACGCCTTCTGCGAGCGGCGTGCCTGTGCGGTCGGGAAAGCGGGGCGGGTTCTCGCCCGCAGGCGGCCCTGTAAAGGTCCCTCGGACGTCCCCAAGACCCTCAGCGCGCAGAAGTCCCGCTTAAGGCGGCTGCGCCTCGGGAGACCCCTCGGTAGGCGTCTCCATGGGTGAGTTTTATAGTTTCGTGCTCCAAATCATTTTGTGAAGTAGGTGGGTTCGGGCAACTTGAACTCACTCTATCATCCGTTTCCATTACCAGATGACGTTCGCTCCTCCTCCTCCTCCTCATCCTCCTCGTCATCATCATCCTAATCCTCCATTCCTCATCCCCCCTTTCCTACATATTTCCTCGTTCACCTGTTCCTCTTCCTCATCATCATCCCCCCTCCATCCCTCCCTCCCTATTTCCATACCATGCTCCCTGCTGCGATCTCTGGGACCTGGAAAGGTTGAGCGCCTTCATGCTGCCTCTCGTGGCTCCGAGTCCCGCCGCAGGAGACGCTGAAGTCATCGGTCAAGAGCCATGTCGAGGGAGTGAAGGCCAGGGGGGCCGGGAAGCTCACTGGCGCGGCTGCTCTTCTTACGGGCGGAGCACGAGGATTGGTAATACTTGACATTTCTCTCTGGCACAGCGCACGCCTCATTCACTCCTCCCCCCTCCTCTCCTACCAGTCGGCGCGAGAGCGCCCTGCTTGCATCAGGAGAGTGCAGGAAGAGCGGGGGCTTGCTACATCGGTTTGCCCGCATACGTGTGTGGGATCGCACCGTGAGTGGACGCATGAACCATACCATGTGGCTGTAAAGCAGCACTCAGCTGGCGATCGCTGAACACACTTTGAGACTCCCCATGGGCACCGGGAGCCGCGAATCGCAAAAAGGAGGACATGGGCCAGGAGGAGGAGCCCACTCCGTGAGAGTTTCTATACCCTCCGGCAGAGCCACCCCACCCCATCAGTACCATGAGTATCTTTCAGGCGGTGCGTACTCACGACTGGCCAGTTCGGTACCGGCTCGGAAAGGACATCTTTTTCGATAGCATTACATCGGTTGCCAATGTCGACACTCGTTGTCACGATGATTCCGTTCAGCAAGTTTGCCAGCCCGGTCCAGACATCCTCGCACGACGGATCGAATCGCACACTGACGTTGGAGAATGTGTCTTTACATTCGTGATGCGAGTTGTGATGAATTGCGTTGTTGTGGCCCAGTTCGACAGGGTGACCCCTCCTAGTTTGTCTCATCCTCCTTTTCCTACGGCACTTTCTGAATGAACTCATCGCGCTTGAATTTTTTATTTGGGATCTGAGCAGCGTGTTTCGCTTGTCGCCGCGTCGGCACTGCTTACTCGCGGTAGCGCAGGGAGGTCGCCCAAGAAAGAGGAAGGAGATGAACGACGACGACGACGACGACGACGACGACGACGACAACGGCGGCGACGACCACGAGGAGGCGGGGTAGGGTCGGGGGAAAGAGGAAGAAGTGGGAAGAGGAAGGAGGGAGAAGCAGGATGGGGAGGCGAAGGAGAAGGAGGAGGAGGAGGAGGAAGAGAGGAGGAGAAGAGAGATGGAGAGGACAGGTGTTGCTTGCGCCCTTCTTTCTCTACAACCCGCTGTATGGCTTCTTGCTGCAGCCCTCCCAGACGCGGGCCGACCAGGACCGCTCTTTGCTCGGAAGAGGTGGGCCTCTGAGGGGTTTGACCGATGTGCACTCTCTCGCATGCCGCCTCGACGTCTGAGCGGGCGTCCGCTCTGTAAGCCGAAGCGGGCGCGGACCCAACTGCTGTGACTTGCCCCCGCCCCCAACACGTTCCAAGTATTATTCGGAGCGACCGTCCCCAATCTGTGCATGTCACTGCCTTGCACTTCCCGCCGTGAGTGCCGGAGTGAGACTGTGTGTTGCCTGTGGCGACCAGGCGCTCCCTGGCGGCTTTCCTTCTGGACCGTCCAAGTGCCCTGCTTGCTACAGCGGGGTGCCCTTGGAATTCTGAAGTGAGAGGAGTCGGAGGATGGGCAAAACCAGCGCGCCCATGAGGTGCCCCCACAATGTGGCCGCGAACGGGCAATTGTGGCATCCCCCGGCAGCTCCCCCTCGAGGTGTCCCAACGCGATGCTTGCTACATCGCGGTGAGCAAGGGGGTTTAGAAAGGAAAAGAGTCAGGAGATGTTTCAGAACCAGCGCTTCGTTCGAGGCACGAGACGTCCCGACAATTTGGCCGCGGACGGGCAAGTGGAACACCCTTTGGAGGCTCCGCCTTGGGGTGCCCGACTGCTACGCCTGCTATACCGCGGTGATCTTGCGGCTCCGAGAAGAGAAGAGTCGCGGAGGTCAAGCGGGGGGAGCCGCCCGAGACTTCCCCGTGAGTTGACCGCGAGCGGGGGCAAGCAGGACTTGTTGGTTGTTCCTCTGCGGGGTGTTCACGTGCCACACCTGCTCTGTCGCAGCGGCCATGCGGCGCTCGAGGCAGGAGCGTCGAGGCGCCAGAACACGGAACCGCCCGATGGGATCCCACCAATGCCGCCGCGAACGGGCAAGTACGACACCCCCATGGCGGCGGCTCGTCCCTGGGGTGCCCAACTGATGTGCTTGCTTCATCGCTGCGACCATGCGTCTTCCAAGGCAGAAGACTTGGGGGCGCCAAACGAGCCAACGCACCGAGACGTCCCCACAGTGTTGGCGCGCACGGGCGAGTGAAACACCCTTGGCGGCTCATGCTTCGGGTGCCCGATTCCTATGCCTGCTACATCGCGGTGTCGTTGCGGCTGGACGTGCTTATGAGAGTGTCCAAGCATGAGTAGATCTGAGCGTGAATGAGTTTGAGCGTGGGCGAGTTTGAGTGTGAGTATTTGCGAGGGTAAGCCTGAATATGAATGAGTCAGTGCGGGTGGCTCTGAGCGTGAGTGAGTCTGAGTGCGAGTGGAGTTAAGTGTTAGTGAGTCTGATTATGAGTGAGTCTGAGCGTGAGTATTCGAAAGTCTGATGACTGAGCTTGGGTAAGTCGGAGTGTGACTAAGTTGCGCATGGGACAAAGCAGAGCCACGAACAAAGCACTGCACGAGATATTCGAGGATGGAGTCAGCGGCTCCAGTTCCTCAAGATTCTTCTGGCGAACAGGCCATGGAAGTTTGCGATATCAGCGAGTGGAGGCGACGATGCACGGCGGAGACCGGCCATGCATGTTCATTGCAGTTTTATAAAGTCATTATGTTGGGTTCCTGCACAGTTCGCGGCAGGAAACCCATTCATCATACGCGGACGAGTTCATGCACTGAATGATGCGGTGTGAATTCGCGGAGTGGGTTCATTTTCACCATCAATATTTGAAGAAGATTCGCGTGTTCCGTGGAAGTGAATGAAGACGTGTTCCTGGGGCATCCTAGGCAGCAGCACCCCACTACGTCCACCCGTTATGGGAAACTTGCTTTCTAACCCGGAAGGTAGACATCATTATCAAGATACGTAGCCGCCAGACACTATAATCGGACCCGTGGGCAGCCTCGTTGCAGGCAGGCAGGCAGTGCTTCTGGGCAGCGCAGGAACTCCAAATCTTTTTGCTGAGCCATCATCCCGCAAACAGTACCTGTCCTCCGGGCCAGTCCTCCCTCTTCACGCTGAGAGTGCACACGTGGTCAAACTTGACCCTTGGCTCTCAGCTCATGAGTTGGAGACATTGGAGCGCTAAAAGATTATATGTTGTTTGCTGGAGCTGGAATATACAAATACACTGCGATTGCACACATCAAATACCAAGCAGTCAACACGAGCCATAACGTTCACCATCGTCAGCGCACCCTCACTCACTCCCCTCAAGTGTTAACCAGGCACAACTTTGGGACTCATGGGTATAATCAGCAAACACTTTTGCTCTGGAGGTAGGCCATTCGGCCCCGACTCGATTTGAATTTCACTCCCCTGGGCTCCCACCCCAGATCCATTGGTGAGCTTCTTTTCTCCCTCTCTCCCTCCCCCTACCTGTCCTGTTCGTCCATCTCCCTTCCTCCCTCCCCCTTCTCCCGCACGCTCCGTTGCACTCCCGTCACCTCTCTTCCCTGTCCCGCTCCCTCCACATCTGCCCGCGAAGCCCCAACTGGCCAGACCCACGCCCCGATCTCCACAGAGCAACCAGGATCGGGCCCCGACGCTTGAAGGCGCCCGCAGGGAGGAGCATGACCAGGGCAAAAACGACGGAACCGGGAGGGGAAAACACACACACACACACAGACACAATGAATCGTCGATTCCCAGGAAAATATTCGAAAGTACGAAAACTTAGAAAATATGGGATTTGTGTATATTTATTTGCGTGTCCCTGGGCCCCTTTCCGGAAGCAGTGCTCCCCGACGGGCGGCGTCGCCGCGCAAGCGAGCCGGCGGCGCGCGGGGCGCAGGGCCGCAGCGGCGGCCCGCCCGGAGAGGATTTTGCGGCTCGCAGCGGCCTCCTTGCCGTGCCCCCCCGGTCAGCGGCGCCCCCGCGATCGTCGGGGGCCTCCTCCTCCCCCATCCCCCTTCTCCTCCTCCTCCTCCTCCCCCTTATCCTCCTCCTCCTCCTCCTCCTCCTCCTCCTCCTCCTCCTCCTCCTCAACCTTCTCCTCCTCCTCCTCCTCCTCCTCCTCCTCCTCCTCCTCCTCCTCCTCCTCCTCCTCCTCCTACCCCTCCTCATCCTACTCCTCCTTCCTGGAACTCCGCCGCCCCTCCAGCCGACGTGCTGGGGGGAGTGATCCCCGAGATCCGCGCCGCGCGGGCGGGCGCGCGGCGCGCGGGGCGTCGCCCCCGGTCAGCGGCGCCTCACCAATGCCAATGAGGGCCCGCCAGAGCACCGGAGCTTGCAGGATCCTGAGAAGCCAGGGTTGTATTGGTTTGGGCTAGCGTTGGGTCGGGCATGCCTTACGACAGGCGGGTTTTGAGAGAAAAATAAGAAAACTATTTTTAAACTGTCCAGAAACAGTCAAAAATAGTCGAAACATCGTACCCAGACTATTTGCTGACTAATTTTAATTTTTCCTTTTGTGGAGAGGGACATGCCCAGCTTAAGGCTAGCGCGCAGGATCCTGCAGGGTCCTGCAGAGCCTGACGGACCCAGGTTATTGCATGGACCCGGATCAGCAGGAGCCCGAGAGGCCGCCGCTTCCGTCATCGCCGCCGCCGCCGTTGGCGTCGTGGCCTTCAGTCGTCGGCCGTCGGCCGTCGTCGTCCTCGTCGTCGCGCTCGTCGTCCTCGTCCTCGTCCTCGTCCTCCTCGTCGTCGTCGTCTCCCTCCTCCTCCTCCTCCTCCTCCTCCTCCTCCTCCTCCTCCTCCTCCTCCTCGTCCCCCTCCTCCTCCTCCTCCTTCCCTCCGCCCCTGCAGGGGGCCTGCGGCCTCGGTGGCGACGAGGCCGCCGGCTTCGAGATCCAGGCGGCGATGGCGGCCCCGCTGCGGCCAGTGCTGCCCAGGCCAGCCGCCACGCCCCGCGCGGGGCCTCTTGCCGAGGCCAGGAGGTCGAGATGCCAGGGCAGGTCGAAATTCCCGACACGGTCTCCATTCCAGTGCGAAGTGGTTGAGCTTCGCACCGCCTTTTCACGAGTCTCGGATCGACTCGACCTCCACTCCTTGTACGCCGTCTCATTTCCATCTGCCAACGCAGGCCGGTCTTCCATCAAGGTGGCTTCATGCATTGAGCAACCTAATAAATCTTCAGCCGTCGGTCTGCTGCTCATCGGGCTTGCCATGGCATTTACACGGGCGAAAGAAGGTCGAGGCGTCGTGGCGCGTGCAAGATTGCTAGCCAGCCGCTCCACGGTTGGTCGGGAGTTTCTGTACGTAGCAAGAGAGGAAGGGACAGAGAGAGAGAGATAGGGGGTGCGCTTTTTCCGTGACGCCGTTGTCACCGAAAGCGGTACAGGAAGCATTGTTGGCCCATCCCCTGGGAATTTTGAGAGGATGTCCCGAGCGATGGCGCAAGGTTGGGATTCTGCGCCAGATTCTGGCAAATTCGCTGGATTCCCCAGAAACGGTGCAGGGTGCACAGTTGTTAAGCAAACTTCCTCGCGTGCCTGGGTTCAGGTTGACGCGAGTTCAACAGGAACTCCTTCCAGTAAGGCAGCAGGCCTTCTCGAAAAGGCCCGGGGGACTTCTAGGAGGCCTTCTCAGAAGCCCCCGAGCCTTTCCAGGGAGCCCGTGGCCTTCTCGGAAGACCTCCCCCTCATGCAGGCTCCGTCCAAAGCTTCGGGCGGCGATTGCTCGAACTCCACTGGTGGTGGGTATCCTGGGCATCTGGGCGGCCAGCCTCTGGTCGAGCAGCTGGACGAACCCCTGCAAGTCATGAGGAGCCCACACCCCTGACGACGGAAGTATTTCACGACGTGGCGGGGCCAGCCACTCATCTTGAGTCATTATTTGGCGGTCCTGGGGCCTCCTCCTCCTCCTCCGCCTCCTCATCCTCCTTCCTCCTCCTTCCTCCTCCTCCTCCTCCTCCTCCTCCTCCTCCTCCTCCTCCTCCTCCCTTTCCTCCTCCTCCTCCTCCTCCTCCTCCTCCTCCTCCTCCTCCTCCTCCTCCTCCTCCTCCTCATCATCATCATCATCATCATCATCATCCCCGGAAGTCCGAAGATGACAAATGGTTGGTCGTCGCGTTTCTTCGCGGACCTGCAGGGCCTGGCAACCTCGCGAAGATCTCTCCAGGGTCTCAATATGCGGGGGAAGGCTGCCGACTGGGCGAGAACGCCTGAGCTGCAGGGGCGCGTTTCGAACAGCCACGCCTCGTCGGGGGCTCTGGAAGCACTGGCCTCACCTTCTCGGGCTGTGCCTCTGGCACGCGCGGGCCCGGCCGAGCTGGCCGTCCGCGGCACACCTACGCCACGTGAGATGTGGCTCGCGTGATGACGGCAAACGGGGAAGCGTCCCCGGCGAACGAGTGAACGAACACGTGGAATGAGAGGGCACAGCCCTCAAACCTTCGACGTCTTGCTTTTCCACGACGCGGCCCCTAGAGAACACTTCTTCATCCTGCGCAGATTTGGACGATCCTGGGGCCCCTCCACGCGTTTCCCCTCCCCCTCTTGCCGTCACTCTGCCTGCAACCCCTGCCTGCTCATTCCACCCTCTGCATGCCCCTAGTGCACGCCCGCGCGGGTCTTAGTTGCATGTGGGTTTTGCTCACTCCTGCCTGTCTCCCTCCCCTCTTCCTCCCTCTCTGGGGAATCTTTTGTCGGCCTCAGAATTTCAAGTGATTGCAGGCAGCTCGCGCTTTTGACCTCTATCAGCGGAACGGTGCTAGAATGCACATTTGACGAACGGTGGTCGCCAGTAGTCTTGGGAGCTCACTGCTCCCAGCTCGCGTTTCGGGGACCCCAGATGCTGCTGCGCAGTCGTGGAAAAAACGAGCAAAAGAAAACAAAAAACAAAACAATGCCCCTGAGGCGCCGCCAAGGTGTTTTCGCAGCCAGGCCTGTTCATTCCACCCCCCGAGTGCGCCCGCAGCGCCGCTGGGGTGCGGTTTTCGCAAAGAGAGCCTGCTCGTTCCGACCCCCGCATGTACCACAGGCAAGGAGCGCATCATGCCGCGGCAGCCAGTGCCGCCCCACCGCCCGAGAAGGCTGGAGGGCCTGACAGGTAGAGTGGACGAGTTCGGCTTCTCTACGCCCGTCTCCTTGGAGTAGGCTGGGGGTCCGAGGTGGCCCAGCATTGGTTCCGGCGAGCAGGGAAGGAAAGGGGGGCGAGGTTCGAAGCGATGGGTTCGAGAAGGTGATTTTGCCTTTGTCGGCCTCTAGGGGCCGTGTTCGGGCTCCGGGACCGTCCACAACTGGTCCAGGGTGAAAAGTTGCATCGGATTGATACCGGGAAGGGTCCAGGGGCAGATTTTGAGCGGAGTTGCTGTCATCCCCCCGTCCTGATAGATTGTTTCAGCCCCTCGGCCGCCTCCCATCGTTTTCCCCTGCTCCTCCCTCTACGACCACCCTGCCCCTCGAGCTCCTCCACTCTGTCCGCCTCGCCCTGGCTCTTCCCCTCCTCCCTCCCAAGGAGGATCACGATGAAAAAAAACACACAGACACAATTAATCGTCGATCCCCGGGAAAATATGCGAAAATATTGGAAGTGGGGGGGGGAAGACAGAAACCCAGAAAATATGGGAATTTGTTTTATTTGTGTGTATTTATTTGTGTGTCCTGGGGCCCCTTCAGAGGAGCCGCTCTCCTCCCATCCCGCCCTCTCGCGCGGCCCCGGGCCGCGCGGGCACGCGCCCTAGCTCCGCGAGGCGCGGCCGTGGGCCGCCGCTCGCCGCTCCCTGGATCGCTGGCCCGGCGAGCTACACAACAATAATTTGGTGATATCGCTTTCGAGGAGAACGAGGAGGAGGAGGAGGAGGAGGAGGAGGAGGAGGGGGAGGAGGAGGAAGAGGAGGAGGAGGAGGGGGAGGAGGAGGTTGGAGCTGGGGCTGGGGTGTGCGCGCAGAGATCGGCACGTGAGCCCGCGCGCCGCCTGTCGCATTCGGTGCAAGTCTTAACTGGGCAGAAAACAAAAGAAACGTGATCGGGCCCGACAGGGCGGCACTGCAAAGAGTGGCCAGCACTTGTTCCCAGGTCAGCCATGGCAAGCTGATGCGCGCCGTGTCGGGCAGTTACGAATACATCCACTACGTGTCTTGGCTTGGGGAAAAAGCTGAGTAGTGATCTGGCCGGGCAGGGCGGCACTGCCAAGAGTGGCTAGCATTTGCGCCCAGGTTGGCCACAGCCCCCCCTAAAAAATGAAATACGATTCAAAACCGAAACAAAGGAATCATTTGTTGTCGAAAGATAAGCAACAGGGCATCCCATCCAATGTGCTCGGGCCGCTGGCCCGTCGATCGGGAGCCCGTGCTGGGGCGGTCGGCCGTCCCTCGAGCGTCGGGAGGGGTACCATCCGACCGATTCGAAACGGAGGAGGACGTGCTGATTAGTTCCGATTCCCTCCTCCATGTTTTTTCCAGGACCTCTCTAGATCTTTAGTCAGCGGTTTGGAGAACGTGTTGGAGCGGTGTTTGCCCTCTTCGGGTTGCCTTGAGACCCAGCCCCCCCTCCAAACGATATCAGGATGTGCCACAACCAGACCGAATTTCAAGGCGAAAGTTTTTGTTGGGTGGACGAGGAAGCGATTTCGGACATTTCGGACCAACGAACAAACTGAGCGGCTCACATTTTGAGTATGTCCATTCAGGGTTGCTCGACAGTCCGAATCGGGATCGGGCCTTCGTCAGCGTCTGTGCAGGGCGCGCCTTACAAGTTCGTGGAATATGTTCCTCTTCTCACTCATCCCCCTCCTCCTCTTTCTCCTCCATCCCCTCCGTCTAGTAATTTTCCTCCTGTTCCTCTCCCTCTCCTGGTCAAACAGACAGGGGCCATGACCTCCAGCGCGCCGCTGCAATGTACCATTGGCCGTCTCCAGCAGCAGCCGCCCACGTTTCAACAGGCTACCACTCGATGAAGTCCAGTTCGCGATGGCAGAGCAAGATTGGTCCTTCTCGTCGTCCTCCTCCACTCACACGATCAGCAGACGCGCCCTCCAGCACGATGCTCTCCTACGGTGTTGGGTTGGTCTTGCCCGTCTCTCCTCTACTTGCCTCTCTTCGGTCGTGGCCTGGCGCCAGGTTCCCGCTGCTTCCAGTCGCGATGGCTTCCACGCTGGTACCACGTTGCTTTCCTTTTTCTGCAATTTTTAGGTTGATCATTGTACATCTGGCGGACGGAAGCATGAGGACTCAGCCTTGCTCGAGAGAGTCGTCGCGATCCGATGCACGAGTGAGTCAGTGGAGGCCAGTGTGGCAGTTTCAGACGCAGCGCTGGATTGATCGTTTGGTATTGCCTCTTGGACACCCTGCCCCCTTGCTGGGTTCAAGTGTTGTACCTTTCGGAGGAGCTACCGTTGTCACTCGCAATGGATGCGTAGCCAGGTGTCCTCACCAGTCCAGGCCGGCTTGTTTTCAAGAGTATGAGCGAAGCGAGAACGATAATGGTGGTTCAAGTTCTGAAGTGCAAGCGTGTATGCGATGGTGTTGTATTTCAGCCGATGTGCATGTTCACGAGCAGTGTGTTGGCGCATGCGGGTTCAACTCATTTGAAGTGGTGCAGAGTATCTTCCCCTTGACTGTAGAAGGCAGCACGCGCTGAGTACAAGGGTGGATGTGGCGTCTGGGGGTGGCTCTTTGTTGTCAGCATTCTGATCGAAAAAAGAAAAATTATCCCAGTGCGACCCTACCTAGGAGTTGGAGCATTTAGGAAGGCAACATCTACATCTACACCGACAGCTACATTTACATCTACACCTACATCTACATCTACATGTATGCTATGCGTGGCTATGCTATGATGTGCTAATGCTGCGCTAAGCTAAGGTAAGCTAAGCTTTGCTAAGCTAAGCTAAGCTAAACTAAGCTAAGCTAAGCTAAGATGATATAAGCGAAGCTAAAGCTAAGCTAAGCTAAGCTAGGCTAGCCGAAGCTAAGCTAAGCTAAGATGAGACAAGATGAGCTAAGCTAAGCCAAGCTAAGCTAAGCTAAGCTAAGCTAAGCTAAGCTAGGCTAGGCAAAGCTAAGCTAAAATGATATCAGCTAAGCTTAGCTAAGCTAAGCTGGGTGAACCCAGGGGGCGCAACTGGGGGAACCGCGGGGCGGATACTAGGGGAACCGCCCAGGCCGCTTTCCACTGCCCGGCCCCTTACAGCCCAGAGAGTAAGAACCTTTCTAGGCAGAGCCTAGGTAGGGAAAACGCTGCAAGTGTCTCAACGGAATGTGATAGATTGAAATCGTGCTGAATGGTCCACGTGAGCCAAGCAGCCCCAAACAGACGTTTTTGATACAGGCGACTACAATACATTGGTTTGGTCGCTACGCTGGCACATATGAGTCCACAAGAGCACGCGCGCATGAATGTGCTAGTGAACAACGTCGCAGTCAACGTCCCATCGTGTTTGCACGAGGGTATCGCAGAAGAAAGCAAGCTCGACACCCCCAGCATTCTAAGATATACACATGTTGAGTACAAGTTTGCCCGAGCATCGTCCTTGTGGACTAGGCCCGCTTCCTTTCCAACGATTTCAATCACGACGCTCTGGTGTATAGGTGGTTTTGTTACCCTGTCTGCATCCACTGTCATGGCTTCGTGCTGTCTTTGTGCGAAGGATCTGACGCAGAGACGCGCACGACAGTCACCGATCGGACTTCCAGGATCCAGGAGAGAGACTCGAGTTGCGGCGTTCCGTCGACGATGCAGGCCGGGAGCCTTGGCCGCGGCTTCTGCTCCTCCCACCCCGGCGGAAGAGCAAAACGCGGCGACGCTCCAGGCATACACTTCTTCCACCGATCTCGACGCACGGCTCGGGCTCAGCGCCGAAGCGATGGACAGGGCGGCCGCTCGCGCCGCCGCGGCATCAGGTGTTCGGGCTGCCGTTCGCATTCCTCCCCGTTGTTCCGCAGGGCCTCTCCAGGCTATCAGTCCACATCTTTGCGTGATGTCCGACCCCGAGCCACACCTCCGGGTCGGCTTTGGAGGTCGCCACGGCGGCCACAAATCGGGGAAAGTTTTTTATCAAGGAGTGGCATGCCCTATTCTTGGCTTCCTCCCCCCTCTCTTTGCGATGCAGACGTGGGTGTGAATTGGCCAGATGGCTACAGAGATTTGTCAATTCTATCCGATATTGGCATTCATGTTCTTTTTACTATGGGTCGGTTATCACGCAACCAATTGTGATCCAGGGTCCCCCCCAGGTCCAGGAACATGTGGTCCCAACCTTGCTGCTCGACGAACCACCAATGTGGACATGGCCAGGAGAGCCCGCAGAGATTGCGCCAGTCACGCATTGAAGAGAAGGTTTTCAGTTGGTTCACGGAGATGAGCAGCAGTGCCACATGGCGCCAGAGAGGTAAGCCGATGAGGAAACCATAGGACCGAGGTCAAACAGAAACACTCCCCAGAGCTACTTCAGGTAATCACTCCCTGGGGATAAGGGAGGAGACCCCAGCATAGGCCTTGCCCTCACATCGCGTCCACCTTTCGCTCTCGCCATTCCCGCGTTTCATGCCGTGTTCAGGGCCCTTGATGTTTCCCCATCGATTCCCCCTCTCTGTCCCTTCTCTCCTTCTCCCGTTCCTCATCCGACTCTGAGCCCCCGCCTCCCACTCTCCTCCGCCATCCGCCTATGCACCCCACCGAGTCCTATCTTTGTTTAGCATCCGCCGTCCACCCATCCACCCCATCGAGTCCCCTCTTCGATGGATTCCTTCCCACAAGATTCCCGCTCCTGCACACACCTCCTCCACCTTCACCTCCTCCTCCTCCTCATCATCATCCCCCTCCTGCTCATCATCCCCCTCTGTTGCCATCCTAAGCCATGCCGCCTCCAGGGCCCAGCCCCGAAGGGCGCGAGTGCGCATTTGTCTCTGGCACTCTGGCCTCCAGGCAGATGAAGATCGGGGGCGGCAAAGCGGGGGGTGATAAATATTACATCTTATTTATGAAGAAAAATCCCAGGTAGGCTTGTCCAAGGGGGAGTGTCCTGGAGTGTTGTCTGGATCCCCGCTGGGTTGTCCAAGCGGTTGTCCGGGGATAGTGTCGTCTTGCCGCCATTAATCATTATGGGTTGTCTGAGGGTTGTCCAGTGATTATTTTTGATTGCGTTATTTTTCCAGTGAAGTTACGTGGGGGCGGATATCTTGGCAGGGGCCATGAGATCTCCCCGGATTTCCATGGCTCCTCTTCTCATTACAGTACGTCCCTTGGTCCCCCCATCGTCCGTGCACATGCTTCGGGCCATGATTTGCGAATCACCCCCCCTCTTTGGACGCTCCGAGAAGTGCATGGTGGCAGCCGCACTCCGAAGCTTTCGTCGTCCGTCGTCTTCTCCCTCGCCCATTCTGGCATGACTCGAGGAGCAGGTTGCGAGCACTGCATGCTCGGAAGGTCGGCTCGATTCCCAAGGCCATCAATCTCCTGTTGGCTCGTACGGTGGACGGGACCTGTGTGCCCGTCTTCATTCGAAGAACAAAATACTGCATAACCTTTTCCGTCGCGGCGCAGCAGAGGCGATCCGCTCGCGCGTGGAGCAAGACCGGGCTACGGAGTTCCAAGTTATCCCGCATGCAAGAAAAGGGGAAAGGAAGAAGCAGGCGGCCGCAGGAGGAGGGAAAGGGAAAGGGGGCACTCACGCGGCGGCGCCGCGGGGAGCGCGCGGGGCGGCCAAGCTGCGGACAGCCCCTGGCAGCGGCGCGGGGCGGCGTCGCGGGCGCACCCAGGAGAGGGGCCAGCAGCCGCAGTGCGGGCGAAGCCCAGCAAGCGGGGGGGCAGGAGCAGCGGGTTGGTGACGGACCAGGGCGCCCGGGCGGGTGGGGTGAGAGGCATCAGTTGAAGCGCGCGGCGGCGGGAAAAACGACATAAACATAAATGTTCGGCGATCCGTGCGAACCTCCGAGAATTTATGCGTGGGCTGTTTTTGTTTTGTTCTCGTGCTCATACCCTTGACAAGCACCAAAATCATGCTGATCATCCGTGCATTGAGACCATTTTATTGAAAAGCGTGTCGGCTTTGCGCGCTTCGCTGAGCAGCTTGACGACCGTTGCGATTTCGACATGCAGCATGTCGTCGGAGCCCGATCTGACTGCCGTACCCGTCAGCTCCGCTCTCTGCGACACGCGACGCACCATGGGTGGATGGTCCCAACATCATTCCCCACGACACCTTGGGTACGCTCATGCCTAAAGTCAGTTGCCCGGGAGACGCTTGCCAGGGAAACCGCCGTTGACAAGCTGGTCAATTTGACAACGTGGAGCGCGAGTTACTGGACGCCCTGCAGGTGGTCGACATGAAATCCGACAGCGTCGACGACGTCGCGGTACTTCCAGGTCAACATGTAGCACAGGATTACCACAATTGTTCCTGTCCTGTGGCTGGTACTGCGACGCCCGCTGGTGGCGGCACAAACGACTTGCTTGATATCGACGACGTGCGGGCCGACGCGGCGACACACATTCAGGCCCAGGCGCGGACGGCCTCAACGGTGTCGCGTAGATGGGCGCGCAGTCCAAACTTGTTCAAGCATTGCACCACTGGCTCATGCAGGAAACCGCGGATACGAGCAGGTGTGCCAGATGGGGTGTTCGACCGTCGCGCCACCAGCTGAGCAGGAGAAGACGGGTAGGACTCCCGCGCTGGGAGCGGAAGAGGCGAAGTTGGTTGAGGCCAACGCGCCAAAGCCCGGGGAGGCGAACCTGGCTTGGGACGGCCCGGCAGCTGCTCCCGACGTCGCTCCGCCTCCTTGGTCGCCTTGTGCAGGGCGCCGGTCCAGGCCGCCGCCCGATATTTCGGGCCGTTGTTGTTTGCCCTGCCCGCCCACGGGGCCAGTCTCATCGTCCCCCTCTCTTCCCCTCTCGGCCAGGCGAGCCAGCACGTTGTCGTTTCATGCTCGTGTTTTTCATGGGTAGCCGCAGTGCGGCCAGTGCATGTTATGCTTGAGCGGCGGTACCCCTCTGACCACCAGCCCTTGCTTCTCCCCCCCGCAGCGAGTGCCCCCCCCCCCCTCCTCTTCCTCTTCCTCATCCTCCCCCTCTTTCTTCAATCTTCTGCGCCAAGGGCTCAAGGTAGGCCCCTGCCTGCTCGGCTCTTGCCCCTGGGCTGGACCACATGCGTTTCCGCTTGAGGGCCAATGCGGGCATACGGTGTGGCTACCACTGCACATCGGGCTGCAACGTCGGCGAAGCTCAGATATGCGTCATTTTCGCCGTCCGCTCTTGTCCAGCGCAGCATCATTCGCTCCTTGTGTGCGGCGTGGGCCGAACCAGGTCGAGCGGTACTGCCCCAGAGCCATGGTGATGTACAACTCGACGTGCCGAGCAGCCTCTTTGGCAGCCCATGGTTGGTTCAGTCTTCGGTCCCCTAAGGCAGGCCTGAGCCGCGGGTTCCATAAACGTACATGGTGCTGGGCCCGTCTTCGGCAGCAGCTCTGGCGCGCGACTCGTGCGTTGCCCAGGTTCGTCGTTGCGGACGAGGCGGCGACCGTGCGCGCCTGGAGGCGGAGCGCGCGCGGACCCAGTTGAAAATCAAGCATCGAACAAAAAGCATGTCCGCTCTTGCCTGCTCCTGGTCCTCCGCCTCCTCCTTTTCCCCTCCTCATCGGCCCCATCCTCGTCCTCCTCTCCGTCCGAACGGCCGAGGGATCTGCGAGTCCATCCCGCCAGGCCCTGCGGCTGGATAGCATGGTCTCTCTCTCTCTCTCTCTCTCCGCAGGGGCCCCGAGGTCGGCCCGCGGGGCCGAGGCGACCCAGCCGGGCAAGCGAACTTGACGGCTCCATTTGTTTGGGGTGTCCTTGTAAGAAGACCCCCCTCTTCCCGCAGACCCTGCCTTCCCGCCCTGCCCCAGCTCGTTCATCAGGAGGGAAGGATACACACAGACACAATGAATCGGCGATTCCCCCGAAAATATGGGAAAGTATGGGAATTGGGGTGGGGAAGACAAAAGCCCAGAAAAGATTGGAAAAAGATGAGGAATCCTGCTGTTTGTGTGTATGTCTTTGTGTGCCCCAGGGCCCCAGCCAGTTTACCCTCTCCTGGCCGGGCATCCTGCGGCCCAGAGGGCAGCGTCACACTGCAGGACGCCGGCCTCCTTAGGAGGCTAGGCCCCTGGGGGGGAAATCCTGGACTCGCTGGGCCTCGCGGAGGCCATCCTCGCCCGGGTGCGGTCCCGAGGCGAGGCCTCCCCGTGTCTGTCGTCGGGGGTGGACAGAGCCCCCAACAGTGACACGTCGATTAGTGGATTGTCCGTTTTCGGCTCTCGAGAGGGCGCCGCGGCCGTTATTTTCCAGGCTTGCGCCCGCCAGGTTTAGGCCTCAAGTCGTTTTCACTGAACCACGTTTTACGAAATGGAGATCTGTCCATCCCCGATGTCGGCGCCCTCATGCAGAGGAGTCGGACCCAGACGTGTCTAGGGTCGTTTGATCATGGACCGCCAGGCTTTCGGCCCGTCCTCGACGACCTTCCGGGGTGCGCCCCTGACCCCCTGGCCTCTCCTCCCAACATTGCGGGTTACGTTTCGCCTTCCTGCCTCGGGCTGCATTTCGAGGGTGGTTGAGCAACGGGAGGATCTGGGGGAGAAAGATAAGTAGGAGGAGGAGGAGGACCAGCGTAAACCCAAGACGCAGCAAAGAGATTGCAATAAACCGTCCCTCCAAGTTCCTTCTTCACAGGCGCGTACAAGGATTCGTTTTCACTGAGAAAAGCTCGCCGCTGAAAGACAACCGTTTGAAAGTCCGGAATTGAACCAGAACGCCATTCCTGGCCTTTCAACGTCGCGAATCACGTGCTTGTCGCGGCTTGGCAATCTTGAGCCGTGCCAGAACACCATTCTTGCGACGTCAACACCGCGAATCAACGTAAGTGTTGCGC